GGGTGATTGTCCCCACCGATGTTACTGATTTTTGTGTGCTTCACTAATTGTGTGTCTAGTTATTGATTCAGTGTGACATTTTAGCCAAGAATCTGAAAATCTATGAAGTTTTTGTTTTTGTATGAAATGAAGATCAATTCCTAGCCTCTTGTGCTGTCTCCTCGCCTAATAAAAAAAATATTGTCATTTGATAACTAACAGATAGTTTTTTTTCTGGTAAAATATTTTTCTTTTATTCCTGACAGAATTACAGCGTCGCATATAATACACAGCACTAATAAGACATAGAACTATATGCACAGCTAAGGAAGAGAACTTGGTAGACACAAACCCATGAACTCGCCTCAGCAAACTCACATTTGGCTGAATTGTTTGGAACTGGGAATGATCACGTCCAAAAATATTTTAGAATTGGTTAGGAAAAATCCTAACATGGCGCAAAGAAATCCAATTAGGTCAGATTAAACCGAAATAAATGGCCCATGTTTTATTAAGCAGCGCCCTCGGGTGGCCTAGACCATGGCACGGGAGACAGGAAAGCAGGGCGCACGTGCAAACCCAGAACCATGCGGGCCTCCTCTGGGAGCCCACTTAAATATCCTGCGGCATGCTGGGATTTGAAGTCCAGACCAAAGCAACTCCCAGCCCTGGATGCCAGGAGCTGGGGTTACTCTCCCGACTTAACATTGTTGTCTTATAAATATACTCCTGCAGAATAAGGGAGGTTTGCAAGGCACTATTAGAGAAAAATACAAGAGAGCAATGTTCTTCTCTAGTAGTCAGGGTGATACAATTCATAGATGCCGTTTTCTTGGTTACAAGGGTTTCCCCCATGTATCTTTTCTCAATAATAGAAGAATATTTGAAAGCTTACCGAGATAAATGCATTCATCATCTCCTTTAATCCTCAAAGGGCCACATTTTATAGATAGAAAAATTCAAAAGAATAATTTTTCCTCTGACTACTCAAATGCTAGGCGGTAGAGCTTGTGTGGTGAATATAAAATATGTTCCTTTCTCTTGAAACTGAGCTGACCTTAGTGACTCACTTATTGCTAACAAAATCTACCGGGAGTGGCTCCTGAAGCTTGGTCAGGAAAGGGCATGCCGCTTCCACCTTGCTCTTTTGTGGTCCTTTTCTAGTAGAAACCAAGGAGCATATAAGAAATCTTATCTTCTTTAGAACTTCATTCGAGGGAAACCACATGTAGGCACACTGGCCAACAGTTCAGAATCAGTTGTCAGGCATGGGAGGGAGGCAATTGAATGTCCAACACTATGAAGCCATCCATGTCTGGTTACAATGACACAAGAGATTTTTTCTTCTGTTTTTTTATACTTCTATTTTACTTTTATATTTACATTTCTTTTTGTAAAAAATATTCTCTCATGGTAACACACACACACACACACACACACACACACACTGTTCTTTAATCAAAGTTCTCATTTCTTCCGGCCTTCCACTAAATCCCTTCTCTCCCATGTAAGACATGGACTGTCTTATGTTTATACCTTTTTTATGTGTGCATGAATGACCCACAGTCTTTAATAAGGATTGCCTGCATGAGCATGAGTGGGGGGATTATTTACATGAAGAAAGGCAATGTATACAAGTGGCTATGAGGAATATGACATGTCCTCCTCCAGCAACCATTAGCTGCCTCTAGCTCCTTGAGGAGGGATGGAGCTTTATGAGCCTTCCCCCATCCAACATGAAATGCTGATAGAACCAGTCTTGTGCAGGTAGACACTGCTGCTGTGGGTTCATGGATGTAAATCTCAAGGTCCAAATCAGAAGCAGAAGGAGAGAGAGCACAAGCAAGGAACTCAGGACCGTGAGGGGTGCACCCATACACTGAGACAAGGGGGATGTTCTATCGGGAACTCACCAAGGCCAACTGGCCTGGGTCTGAAAAAGCCCGGGTTAAAACCGGTCTCGCTGAACATAGTGGACAATGAGGACTACTGAGACCTCAAGAACAATGGCAATGGGTTTTTGATCCTACTGTACCTATTGGTTTCGTGGGAGCCTAGGCAGTTTCGTGGATGCTCACCTTACTAGACCTGGATGGAGGTGGGTGGCCCTTGGACTTCCCACAGGGCAGGGAACCCTGACTGCTCTTTGGGCTGACGAGGGAGGGGGACTTGATTGGGGGAGGGGGAGGGAAAGGGGAGGCGGCGGTGGGGAAGAGACAGAAATTTTTAATAAATAAATAAATAAATAATTAAAAAAAGAATGCAAGGTAAATTAAAAAAAACCATTTGATTCTGTTACTTTATAACAAAATCTAGTATGGGATGCACCTAAGTATGTGATTATATATTGAGATACCAACTTTGGCATGCCCATGATGCTTTGTGTTCTACAAATGGTTTTCTGAGTTCTATTATCTTATCTTTTCCCAAATCAAAGAATTACCATTTTACAAATAATACGTTTTTATTCACTCAGTAAATATTTATTGATCACAACTGTATGTTAAACAGATAATAGCTCCCATTAACACACCAAAAAAATTAGTAAGTGTAAGCTTAAGAACATTGCTACTGATAAAGGGTAGGAAGAAAATGAGGAAGCACTTAAATACATAAGACTCCACCCACGTGAGAAGAGCTCCCCACTAGAAGGCATGGCAGGGAATTCTAGGGGAGGATTAAAAACTTGGTTTTTTTAGGCAATTAGAGGAAGAAAGGAAGAACAGAAAAGGACAAGGACTCCCATGGTTGGTTTGTCTATAGTCTTAGCTTCGAGTCCTTAATACAAGTCATCCTCTCACCGCTACTCAGAGGGAGAAGGGCGGAGAGAAGAACCTCAATGAGGACAACAGAGATGATCCTCTTGGTAGGCATGTCAGTAGATAATTTGTCAAGAGAGTTTCCAAGTTAAAGATTGTTTTCAGCCTACCAGGCCTATTTCAGATAAAAAATAGCTCATCTCCATTTTTTCCCTTGTAAGAATGACTCTTAAACTTAAGGCAATATGTCTTTTCAGAGGGAAGCAATGCTTCTGTGGATCCACGATTTCCTCACTAAAAAGAAAAAAAAAAGCTTTAAGGAAAGAGATTACTATTCTAGCAGCATCGATCTACAGTTCACATAAGCTAAATATTTCTTTGTCCTGATAGTATGGTTTGTTTTAAAGGTAATTTTAAAAACATATTGTGTTTCTTGGGCTAGTCAACAAGAGAACTGAATTTAGCCTCAATAGTAAGTAATCTAAAAATGAGCACATGATCCAGGATCAACCAGACTCTCTCTTAAGAATTAGTGTGAATGCTGGAGAAGAAGGCATTTAGTTGAAGTTCTGAACTACAAAGACCAGGGAACTCTAGGATGCCAGGAACTACCACTGTCATCAGGGAGACAGCCAGTCTACATAATAAATCTAATACCAAAGTTGACTGGTTCTTTTCTGGAAGCTAACGACCTTTATAGTAAACAAGCCAACACATTAATTGTTCTCCCTGCCTGACTTAATGTAGTGTGAATTAAGTTCCTGTTACTACCCAACATTCCTTTCTTAGTCAAATCCACCATCACCTATGAATTCCTAATGGTGGGAACAGATTTCACCATCCATATAATCAACCATTGCTCTGCCCTCATTCTGACACCCCCTCACAGTTTCTCAGGCCAAGGTGGTTATTAGGGACAAAGGCTTTGGTGTGGGTGAGCCCACAAATATTATACAGTAAATCTATTGGACTATGGGACTATCCCCAGTAAGTGTATGCGTACACTCCACCTGGAGAACCCGTTTTTTTGCAGAGCTGCAGGGGACATCTGTGCTTTAGATAAGTCACCGTCAATTCTGTGGGAATCTTGTGAGGTCACATTTCTCTCTTCTCTAATATCCCAGCAGTCTATAAACCTGACTTTTCCTGTAGGGCAGATACCTCCCCCTCACACCATGAAGCCTTGGTGTGAAAAGGATTCAGTCAAGTCCTTGTTGCCATAGCCAAAATCTACATAAAAAGAGGGCCTTTATTTACAGCAGTCACTGATAAGAAAGGAGCTTCATACAGGAGAAAGTATGTCTGCTCAAACAGCAGACTCAAGAAGGTGTAATCTACTGGTCTTCTGATTCAAGAGGCTACCAATATTCTATATTTACCCTTCACCTTGTTTCAACTAACATAAGATCATAGCCCAGGAAATTAACTGTTTATACAGGGAAAAGGCCTAAGTCACTAAAAATAGCTTTAGAGCAAAAAATTCTCACTTGGGCACCCTGCTGGAGTTAAAAGCAGGGTCCCCAGAAGAGATTCCTTTTAACTCAATCAGCTAGAAGCTAATGTAAATCAAGCCCACAGGTCAGTATAGCTACCAAGGCTGTGTTCCCAGCCCCAGGGGAGCTTCACAGCCACGCCCCCTCTGAGACTTAAGGCGCCTCCTTGCCAGATCCACCAGCTTATAGATCTATATATAGTGTTATTTAATATGCAAACTGCATTGCAACACAAAAGTGCAGATTAAAAATGAAAACTATGGTTATATTAAAACCTTGACTTAAGCCTTACCATGACCTACCACCAAGACCACCCCAAACAATCCAAAAGAATCTATGTATCCATCCATCTTACCAAAAGTGCATATTTTTTTTATCTATTAAGATTTTAGTGTGTGCATGGATATGCGTATGTGGTATTTGTGTATGTGTGTGCAGTGTGGGCATGTATACATGTTTGTTGAAATAAGAGCAGCGGGTCTGCGTCCCCAACACCCCGGCCGCTTGGCTAGCTCATGCCCGAAATAACAACACACAAACTGTATTCACTTAAAGAACTGCTTGGCCCATGAACTCTAGCCCTTACAGGCTAATTCTCGCACCTGGACTAGCCCATTTCTAATGATGTGTGTAAGCACCCCAAGGTGCGCTTACCGGTAAGATTCTAGCCTAAGTCCATCGTGGGTCGCAGCTGCCTGGGAGAGCTGAGCATGGCGTCTCTGCTCCAGCAGAGCTGTCGGGTCTCTCTGGGAGCAGAGCAGAGTCTGACCTCACTTCCTCTTCCGCCCAGAATTCTATTCTGTTTACTCCTCCCATCTATGTTCCAGCCATGAGGCCAAGCAGCTGGTTTATTATAACTTAACCAATGAAATCAACAGATTGATATATGACACTCCCACATCACTTCCCCTTTTTCTGTTTAAACAAAAAAAAAAGAAGGCTTTAACTTAACATAGCAAAATTACATATAACAAAACAGTTATCAAGTAAAAATTACAATAATCTATATCATAACTAAGAAAAACTATAACTATAACTAACTATTCTTAACTCCATCAAACAGTCCAGAAAGATACAATATTACCTAAGCAAATAAGAAATAAGCAAACTCAAACTCTAGAAATGACAGAGACATCTCACTGCCTGGACAGTCACCCAAAGTTCCTCTGTACCGTTGGGGCATCCATCTTCAGCCTAGAGGCCCATAGTTTCCAGCAGACATTTCCACAAAGCAGGAACTTTCAAAGGCAGTCACTATCTGCTTGTCCTGAAGAATGTCTTGCAGACTCTTTCATGAATCAGGAACCCCGAAAGATCATCTCACCTTTAGGCAAGTTCAGCAGTCCTCTCTCTGCGGGTTCTCTGTGTCCAGTTTATGCAATAGTCCAGGCAAGAGCAGTTTCTTGCCCAAATGGCTATCAAACTCCATAAGGATCCTCTTTGATGCCCATCTTCCTCTTGAAGTAGATTGGTGCTGCCAGGAGCAGAGTGTCTCATTGTCATGAAAAGTCCTAAGTTATTAAAACATGTAAAATGCCATATTCTCTAGCCTTTGAAAGATATGAAGAATGCCTATCTAAAATATATCTATGCACATCTAGAAAATCTTAACTAACATAACTACAAGCTTAACTACTATTAATGATTATTCATTAACAACCTATATACATTCAAAATTGACCTTAAATCTCTATCAATAAAGCAAAATCTATACTAATGCAAATTATTCATATCTATATCATATCCCCCTTTAAATGTAAAAGAACGTTTATAAACCATATTTGGGAATATGGGCGCAGTTATTTCTCTCCAAACTGCTTCCTGCTGAATGGGGGCGTCGTTAATTAGGTCTTTCATGCTATAACCTGTGTGCTAGTTTCATCTCAGTTGGCAGTTGAGCGAAGCAATTTTCTGAAGATGTTCACAGGAACTCTTCAGGAGGGCGTGGTCTATCATACCATATCGGAATAGAAGAAATGAACAGGGTCTCGTCCTCTGTGAAAACAAAAAAAGAAACTCCTTTCCAAAGTATCATGTCCTTAGATCCAAATTTCAAAGTCAAGGCATCAAAATCTCTACGATGGATTAGTTCAGCAGCCTTTATAAACAAATATCTTTGGGCAGCTGTTGGTCCTTCCTCAGCATTCAAACAATTCAAAGAGAGCATAATAGTATACAGTATCAAGATTCTCTGTGTATTTTCCATCTTTGTAATACGCTTTATTTTAACCTCTATTTCATTTATTTTTACTTTTATTTATATTCTCTGTATCTCTTTGACCTGGAATAACTCTGTAGACCAGGCTCTCCTCGAACTCTCAGAGATCTGCCTGTCTCTGCCTTGCAGGCATTCGGATTAAAGGTGTTTGCTACCACACCTTGAACTCACAGAGATCTGTTTGTCTCTGCCTTCTAGGCACTGGGATTAAAGGCGTGTACTACCACACACAACTTCTCTTTTTCTTACTTTTTTTTTTAAGAACTTTTAACTTTTAGCTTGCATATAATTTTAACACATTGTAAATCATTTAAAAATTTTCTTTATCTTTGAATCTCTTTACTGTATATCTCTTTTTCTGACCACACAAGCCTTTAAATTACTGAGCAATATGAGTAGGATTAAAGTCGTGGCTTTGCCAGCTAGATCCAGTCCATTCCTTAGCTTTCCGGCCTCATGGCTGAGGTACCGGTTGTAGCCACACTGCCACAACTCTACGGCATTTCAAGGTCCCTGCCAGCAAGCGAGCTTCAGCAGCCTGTGCTTGCAAACCACACAAACCGCCTGCGTTAAAGAGTCAGAGTTTGCCGTGGCAGGACAGCCCAGAAAGCCGGCATTTTTAAACGGCACAGCTTTTTTCCTGCTATAGCTGAAAACCGAAAAGCATGCGTTCAGCTTTTCACCAACACCTTTTAAGTGTTTCTTGGCAGGACCTCTTAATGAGCTGCAGGGTTTTGCAGCTGAAGCTGAGTCAGGAAGCCTCTCTTAGATGAGAGCGCTTGCTTGCTTCTAACAAGCGAAGCAGACCCGAAAAATTGTTGCTACCAGGCAGCTGCGACCCACGATGGACTTAGGCTAGAATCTTTCCGGTAAGCGCACCTTGGGGTGCTTACACACATCATTAGAAATGGGCTAGTCCAGGTGCGAGAATTAGCCTGTAAGGGCTAGAGTTCATGGGCCAAGCAGTTCTTTAAATGAATACAGTTTGTGTGTTGTTATTTCGGGCATGAGCTAGCCAAGCGGCCGGGGTGTTGGGGACGCAGCCCCGCCGCCGCTTCATATTTCAACACATGTTGTACACATGCAGTTGTATTTGTGAGAGTTCTCTCACTATGTAGGAGGGGGACAGATTCAACACCAATATCCTCCACTACCATTCTCCATTATTGGTGAGTGATGTTCTCACTGAACCTAGAGCTCACCAGTTTGGATAGGCTGGGTCCCTGCAAGCCCCTGGGATTGGCCTGGCTCTGCCTTCCCAAAGCTGGGGCTGGGTTATTCATGGGCCGCTATGTCTGACTTTGTATTCAGATAATGAGAATCTGAACTCAGATCTTCATGCTTGCACAAAAGGATTATACTCACTGAGCCATCTCCCCACTCCAAGAAGTGAGCTATTCATGGCAGTTTAGGAAGTAAAATACTATCTGTACATAATTACTTTATGCCTGGTCTCATTCTAAAAAATGTATACAAAATTACTTAGTTGATTTTGTAAATGACCACACTTATTGTTGCTTTCAAAATTTCTCTAAAAAAATGCAGACCTGATGATTGTTCACAAGTTAAGATACCAAATATGAGAATTTTTCCCTTTTCTATTTTGTATGCATGTTTGTGTAAGAATAATGATGCCACATAACTTTCCAAGATCACCATTATAAAAACATAAAGTTGCCATACAACCCCAGTGACAAAGAATGTGTTTTTTTCATGGAGTCTCACCAGTGAACTAGCCTCAACCTTTCAGAACTATAGACACAAAGCAAAATAAAGCAAATTTGAGCAAAACACCAACCATAGCACGAACATATTTGAATACACCAATGGGTATATTTTTTTTATTTCCATGTTTCCAAAAATCTTCAGAAATCCCAAATTCACCCCTTGTCCTTCAGTTTTCCCTCTGCCTCTCTAAGAATGCTATTTTCTTATTCATGAGCCATAACCTCAACTTCTTTTGTGGTACCAGACATCACAGAAAACCAAAGCCAGCATATCCGGTGAGGTGTGCCAGTGACTGCAAGGGCTATTTGCATGAGCAATCCTTGCTGTCACTAGAGACTGGAGTCTGTAAACAGTGCAAGCCCAGGTAGGAGATGCTGATGAGGAGAAACATTCTCTGGGAGCTTTTCCCTATGTGACCTCGGTTTCCGGCCACTTGCTTCTTTCTCATTTAATATGAGGAAGGAGCTCAGTTAGCTTTACCTGACACAGCTCAGAGTACCCGAGAAGGAAGACTTAACTGAAAGAATTGAGCAACTCTGACTGGCTCATAGGCATATCTGTAAGGGATTATCTTGATTGTTGATGGAGGGAGGAGGGCCCAGCCTACTGTGGGCAGCACCATTCCCAGGTAGGTTTGTACAAGAAAGTAGCTAAGCGTGAGACTGTGAGTGTTTCTCAGTGGTTGCTGGTATATTTTCTTGGCTGTGAGATTCTCAGTCAGAGGTAACGTGTGGAATGACAAGCAGCTGGGCCTGCTAGTCCCTTTGTGAGTTCCTGTCCTGCCTTCCTGCAATGATGGATTGTTACCAGCAAACTGAAATAAGTTCTTTCCCCCTTAGTGGCTTTCGGTCAGAGGATTTTAACACAGCCACAGAGAAGAAACTCGATTTTTTTCTACCATTCCGCTGTCTCCATCTCCTTCTCTCTTCGAAGACCTATTTTCAGATTCTCAGTTGTTCTCAGACCTCAGAGGAAACAGGTATCCCTAAGGAATTCATTACACACACACACACACACACACACACACACACACACACACACGATTTTTTAAATTGAAAAATAATAATGTTGTGTACTTACGGGGCATGTTGTGATATTTTGCTGTGTATGTGCATTCTGGAACGATCAAACCAAGTCAATGAACACAGCCATGCCTCATATGGCTGTCCTTTCTTTGTGAGATGAATTAGAATCTATTGTTTAGCTGCTGTAATTGCAGCCACGCTGTTGTGCAAAAGCACGCCATTTCCTTATTCCTCCTTTCTCACTGGAACATTGTGCCCTTTGACTGACATCTCCCCTTTCTCCATCTGCCCTCTCCCCACCAGACTCTGCTAAAGAGCTTTTGCTTTTATTTCATCTATAGGTGAATTTTTGCAGTGTTTGTTTCTCTACACCTGACTTATTCCTGTTAACATAATGTCCTCTAAGTTAATCCATGTTGTCAGAAATGGCAGAATTCCCTGTCTTTCAAAGTGTGAATATAATCCACAGTGCGTCCCTCATTTTAAAATGTCAGCACATTTGTTGATGCGCACACAGGAGGGCTCCATATTCTGGCTATCATGAATAGGGCTGCAACAAGAGGTATCTTTCCTTTGATATGCTTATTTCAGATCTTTTTAATACACACCCAGAATTAGAATTTCTGGGAGACATGGTAGTTCTAGTTTAATATTTGTTTTGCATGTGGGGAGAACCGTAATACTGTTTTTAAAAATGGCTGATTTGGTTTCCAATGCCAACAGCAGTGTATAAGACTTTCCTGACTCCCACGTCGTGCCAACACTTAAGCTTTCTCGTCTTTGCATGTGTGTGTATGTTCATTTGTGAGTGTGAATGCACATATTCATGTATGTATGGAGAACAGAGGTGACCCGTCCAGCAGGTCCAGTTATTCAGGGTCTGAAGAGGCTCTACCTGTATGAATCATGGGCGAGAGAAAAGGAGACCAAGCAGAATCCAATTGTCAAGGTCTCCGTTTATTAGGGTAATGGTTACAGCTTATATAGCCCTTGAATGAGGAACTTGGCTTGGGGTGGGGGGTAGGGGATAGTAAAGGTCACCAGTTAACACACCTGGTGTTTTTTGTGTAAGTGGAAACTTCTTTTTGTGATTTCATTAACAAACAGTTCTCAAGGTAGTTGGGATGTGGGGCTCTCTGCAAACATCCTTAGGACAATGGTCCCTGCTATCATCTTTAGGACAATGGTCTCAGACACAGAAGAAGGTGTCAGCTATCCAGCTGTATTGCTTTCTGTTTGATTCTCTTCAGAGGGTCTCTCACTGAGCTTGGAGCAAGCTCCAACAGTACTCCCGTCTGTGCTTTCATGGTGCTGAGGTGAAACATGTGCAGCCATGGCTTTTTACATCGGCTCTGGGAACTTGAACTCAGATCCTCAGACTTGCACAGCAAGTGTTTTTAACCCCAGTCATTTCTCCAGTCCCCTCTTCTCTTTGATAATAGCCAGTCCAATAAATGTGAGGTTGTATCTCATTGTAGCCTTAATGTCTATTTCTCTCAAGCCTAGGGAGACTGAGCATTCTTTCAGGTATCCTTTGACCAAATTTTTTTTTCTTTTAATAGAAGTGTCTTTGGCTGCACACATTCTGGAATACTTATTTCTTCTATCCTAGAGATTTTGATTTAGTAGGATGATTCGGGCCCTACTTTCTGCCTTTTAAATATGCATCCTAGATATTTGTGTTATAATGAATTTTGAAGATTGCAAAAGGAAAAAGAATTCTCTGTTACTGGCTTCAAAATAATTTCGCCTAAAATCATAAAAATGTAGATTTCTAATATATTCCATGTTGAATGAATATTAAATTTGAGAAGGCTAGAAGTCTAGTGTTGTGGAGAGTTCTGACTGAGAAGGAATATCATTCTAGTCTAATGCCTTCATTTCATAGATGAGGAAATAGAGGCTCTGAGTAGTGCCCAAGGCTATGTAAAGTTTGTCATGGAGAAAGGGCTAGAAATAACGCCTTAAGGCTTTGATTGGACAAGTCCTTATGTGGATTTTACTTTTTGTAGGACTCTGGAGTTTCTAATCGTTTCTACAAACGTAGCTCCCGTCTATTTAAACACAGCGAAGGGATTGGTAGTCACAAGAACAGAAGAGAATGTGGTACACACAGCTGGAGAAAGGTGAGTCTAAACCCAAGGTGATTTTCAACCTTCCTAACACTGAGACCCTTTGATAGGGGTCCTCATGCTGTGGTGACCCCAACCATAAAATTATTATCATTGCTACTTCC